TTCAGCTTCCTGTTTGGCTTCTCAGATCTTCCATCATCTACATAACTTACTTCCTGCATTAAATTTCCTTTCTTTTAAATAATTAGTGTAGTTTTTCTTTTTCCTGACTGGCTCCTGATAGATACCTGCCACAAGCAAGCAGGTGCCCTCGCTGGCTGGATGTCTTGGTACTTATATGAAGAGAAGGGAACAGTGAGAGACAACCTGCGTTCTAGGGTGAATAGAGCCCAGCGCCAAAGCCGCACAAGCCAGAGGGTTGCTTTTCTGGTCCACAAAAACGACCCAGTTATTTTATCAGGGCAGAAGCATCACATTAGATGGGCCTACCCTCGCCCCTGCCATGCCTGCTGCCCCCACCACTCGAGGAGTATCCGCAGAGACTGGGCCCCACGATGGGTCACTGACCCTCATGTGGCGCTGAACACTTCTCGGGTTGGCTTTTCCACGTCCACCAAGGCAACAGGCCTGAAGGCTGCTCCTGCCTGGACTCTCGATCCTGCCTCTTCTGCCACATTCCCAGGCAGCCCGATGCAGATGGATCCAGTGACACCCCTTATCTGCATGTTGTATCAGAGATGAGGATGTATTCACTGAACCCCATTTCTTTTTCCCCCGGGCACTTGGCCAGACCACATTTCCCAATTTCCCAACTTCCCTTGCAGTTAGGTTGTGCCATGAGACTGAACTTTGTCCAAGGCAATGTGCTAAGAAGTAATGAAGCAGAACTACCCAGTTGCCCGCCAACTGATGCAGGAATAAATACGACATGGTTATGCAGGTCCAACGGAGGGTTACTCCGCCGTAAAAAGGGCGGAAGTACTGCTACGTACGACAGCATGGATGACCCTTGAAAACATTGAGCTAAGAGAGAGACGTCACACACAGCAGATGGCCTATCTAGCATGATTCCATTTACGTGACGTGTTCAGCACAGGCAAATCCACAAAGGCAGAAAACAGGGAGTGAGCGGGGGGAGCACAGGTGAGCGCTGATGGAGCGCCCCAACAGATCAGCAGGCTGCTTAGGGCTGAGTGGGGAGGGAGGTTTGGGGGGGGGGTGTTGTAGAAGGAAATGGAGGTTGGGGGCTGGAGAATGTCCAGGGTAAGAGCTGAGACCTGGATTCCTTCTCCGGAGATTGATTATTTGGGCTGAGGGGCAGCCTGGACACCAGGGATTTTATACTCCCCAGCCGATTCTAATAAGCAGCCAAGCTGAGACTCCACTATCTTAGTTCATTTCGTTCTCATACATTGTGAAACGGCCTTATTGTCAGACGGATGTTGCTGACTGATTAAACAGTTTTTATCCACAGGCTTGCGCTTGGCTACCTTGGGTTCTGAAAACTGGTTATTAACCACTGAAAGGATTAGCTGTTTAGCACCTGTCTTAAGATGGCTTTTAAGCTGAAAATCTTTTTATTTCTTTTGCAAATGTTTGCTTTTTTTGGTCTTGTTTAGCCTGCAAAGACCTTTTATTTTGAGTAATGAGGGGAAGTGTCAAGTTAATGAGAAAAAGTCTGGTCCAAGGGTAACCGAACAAACCTGAACTCCTATCAGTAATTAAGCGTTTACTACTTTAGATGGCTATGTAGCAATTGCACTGTGCGATATTACAATAAGGACTGGGGAGATTTTTATGGGTGTAATGACTAATATAGTTTGCAGTAGTATTTCTCTCTAGTTCTCAGTGATTTCAATGTGACCAAGCCTTCTTTACTTTGTCACAAAAATCGGGTTTTCTAGGTGACTATTTTGGTGAGTGTCAAAGTAAGAATTTATGGTGTATTACTGTCAATTCACTTTTGATTTAAAAAAACATATATTGCGGGCCCATTGAGTGTGGGCGTGGCGGTGCGGCCCCGGGCTGGACATGGAGGGGCTTGCGGTGGCCGAAGGTGGCCTGGACAGGGTCCGGGAGCTGCAAGGCGTGGATGAGGCCGGGAAGCAGCTGCCGAACCATGCAGTGCGCCCTTGGCCTGGGGGACCACAGTAGCCAAAGCACTCCTACTGGTTAGATATCTGGCTCTTCATCCTCTTCGACCTCGTATTGTTTTTCTTTGTGTACCTTTTGCCCTGATGATTTGCCTGATAACCAAATTAACAAGTTGGCTTTTGGAATGGATTCTGAAAATGACTACAAACTTCAACAAAGAAGACGGAACAGGATCATACAATAGAAGAATTTCAAACCTCTAAGGGACTTTCATTTCATATATTCTGTTACTCATTTTGGGACTATTTTAAATGGGTAATGATTTCACCCATTCATTGCTAAAACTAGCATCTTAATGTGTTTCCTTTGACATTTTCAAGGTTGGCAGGATTTAACATGATGCAGCTAATATGTTGAAATAATAAGGCAAAGTACTTTGAGGTAAACTACTCCAAAGCAAGGATTTTCAGGGAAGTTTTAAAAGCTAGGCAGAAAATGCAGGCCTTAAATGTGTTGTCTGTTAAGTACCAGTTTAAGTTTTAGATGTAAGGGGGGCTATGTTATTCTGAGATTGATATAGTCTTAGAAAGTATGTAATATCCGATATAGGAAAGCTAGTGTGCATGTTCTCATAACTTGAGAGCTTCTCCTTTATTCCTTTTAAATTCTTGAACTCTCTAAAATAATATCTGTAACTTTAGCAAAGTCCACATATTTACTCATTCAACATATATTTTGAACACTTAACTCTCTGCCATGGTACAGCAGTGAACAAGAAATAAAAATGTTTACCTCCCTGAAACTTACAAAACATAGATTTATTATCTGTTAATGAAATTCACATTCTAGGAGTGATTAGCTAATATTTGATGAGAAAGATCACATTCCTAAAGCAGCTACTATAAGCCTTTGAGAAACTAGCCCTATTTTATAACATTCCTTTACATGCTGATGTTAGAAATGAGTTCTTATCTTTGAAACAGGTGACATTTGACATGTGCATTGCCTAAATATTTTGGAGCTATTTCTTTTCCCTTAGAAAATGGGGCATAGATCTGATAAACACTACATCCTTTACCTTTTATAATAAGTGTGTAAGGTTACAATGAAATTCTATTGGTTGATTTTGGGAGGGTTTTAATTGCCTACTATCAATTCTAAGGTTAACAGTTATGCCTTTAGGATATTGTTGCATCTACCAGAAAGATGACCTTTAATGCAAAGATTGAAGCATCTAGAGAAGCACAGAACTGAGATTTCAACAAGTGTACTTAACAGATGATATGAACTGTGTTTGTGCTGCTGCTAATAATTTTGTTTAATAAATGTTAATTGTATGGCTTTTAAAAAAATATATTGCGGCCAAAAAAAACAAACATTTAAAACAGTGAAATACATTCTTTTCAGAATTCTGAACATTTCATACCTCAAAAATTAGCTGATAGTAGAGGTAGAAATTCAGTGCCTCATTAAAGTCTTTATCTTTTTTTCTTACCACAGACCAGAAATTATTTAAATGCTTTAGTAAATTTGATTTAAGTTGGTATCCGTTGGCTCTTAAAAATGAAAGAGTAGCATAGCTGGGATGTTCACCAAAAGATCTCCTTTGGATGCTGGTAAAGTTGGATTTTATAGAACAGAGAGGAAAGAGCAAATATATTAGAGTAAGAGCAAGAGGGAAAATAGAAAAAGTCAGAGTTGAAATACAGACTTAATTATTCCAGGTTTCCAGAAGGATGCCAAGCATCTAGGTTAGCCCTCTCAACCAGGATTGCATTGAGAATTAAGCCCTGATGTTCTAGGGCATCCGCTGTATCAGTTGAATGAACCTTCTTAGGCATCCAGAATGGGGCTAGCTATATGCCATCTTTGGGAGATTTGAGAAAATAAATTAGGGCCTCCCTGGTGGTGCAGGGGTTAAAGACTGCTATCAAGCTATCACCAGCCACTGCAGCACAAGTTCGATCCCCTGCTGGCCAGGGAGCAACCCACATGGCACAGCAGACCTCCTGACTCATCTGCTGCTCTCCTCAGCAGTGTATTTCAGTAAATCCGCCTGTTCTGCTCCCCACTCTCTCTGGTGAATCCTCTTACCCCCCCCCACCTCTGGCTTACACCCCAGTTCTTGTATGCATAATAAATAAATCTTAAAAAAAATAGTCAAATAATTTTCTCTAGGTCTTAATTCTTTTACAGAACCCCAGTTGAGACAGGCTGTTTTAGGTACTAATCTGTCATTTTGGATGATGCCGTTTTTTTGAGGTACAGGTCCTCAGGAGAGAAAGCATAAAAGAGCCGGTTGCCAAGAAATTTTTAAAATAATCTCTTTATTCATTTGTTAGAACTAGTAAAATCTATGCAGGAGCACTTTGTACACATCCCAGTAATGAGTTTTTGAATAATTTTACGTGTATCCTTTCAGACTTCGAAGTCTGTGCACACAAATACAGGTAAATAGTATTTACTGCAAAGAATAGGATCGTGCTGTTCATTTTCTTTGGTGATTTCTTTTCCCCATGAACTTTATGGACATTCTGTGTGTGTGTGTGTGTGTATTTGCCTCTTTCTCAGGGTTGCAACAGTTATTGCTTGATCATATGGTAGTTCCATTTTATTTTTTGAGAACTCTCTATGCCATTTTTTCTAGAGGCCACATCAAAGTGTAGTCCCGCCAACAGAGGATGAATGTTGCTTTTCCTCCCCATCCTCGCCAACATTCGTTTCCAGTCTTTCTGATACAGACTCTTCTCACAGGGGGAGCTGATTATCTCATTGATTGTGGTTTTGATTTGCATTTCCCTTATAATAAGTGATGTTGAGCATTTTTTCATGTGTCTGTCATCTAAGTCTAAAGGGACCGAATCAAATAGGGCTTGGATATGATTGTATGAGATTGACTGGTGTGAACCTTAAACAGTGGCGACCTTTGAGTATGCAAGTGAATGTGCTTTGGAAATTTTTTCCTGCTCATGCAAAGCATTTTTACAACCAGTCTTGCACAGAATAACTGCGTCTGTACTCTCATGTCTTCACTCAGTCCTGTGTGAGCTTATAATGGAATCTTTCAGGAGAAACAGCGCAGGGGACCGCAACAGGGCGCTACAGGTCATGCTCCAGGTGCTGCAGAGTTGTGACCAGCCGGCCCCTGACATGTTCTGCCTTTGTGGGAGGATCTACAAGGACATCTTCTTGGATTCAGACTGCAAGGACGACGCCAGCCACAGCAGTGCCATTGAGTGGTAAGCCCTCAGCGCTTGTCAGGAGCCCGTGCATCTCTGCAAGGAACAGCCTCAGGCTAAGGCTAAGGCACCAGGTCCTTCCCCTGTGAGTGCATGTCTGCCTGTGTGCTGGCAGTGGGAAAAATGCCATAAATATGGTCTGGGAATTTCTAGATTCCTTTTTCTGAAAGGAAACCATTAGAAGCAGGGTTTTCTACCTCTGACACTCTTCCCACAAGTTCACCCATTTATAGAAGGAGGCTTGGCTTGCTTCTGCCCAGCTCCTCCTTCCAGAACCTTATTCTACTGCCATCAGAGCTGTTCATTCCTGAATTTGTTTATTATTTATTCAGCAGTTATTTATTGAGGGTTTACCGTGGCCAGAAACTTTCCTAGCGATTGGGAATAGAGGCACAGCAGACATGAGTCCCTGCCCTGATGGACCTTCCATTGCTGGTCAAGGCAGGCAGAGATACAAAGTGAGATGCATAGGATGTCAGCAGATGGTGAAGTCTTTGGGAAAAGGAAAAGTTGTGGGGTGGGGGTAGGGAATGAGGGCCCGGAGAAATTGTCTGCAGCTTTAGATAGGGTGGTCACTGAAAGTGAATACAGACAAGAAGGTGGTGAGGGAATGGGCCCTGCAGATAACCACAGGGAAGGTTCCAGGAGGGTACAGCAAGGCCAGAGGCCCTGAGGAGCTGATAGAATAAGAATTTGGTGGTTTGTACCTTCAGGTACCGCAAAGGGTTCGAGCTCCAGCCATCTCTCTATTCAGGAATTAACCTTGCAGTTTTGCTGATAGTTGCTGGACAACAATTTGAAACTTCCATGGAACTAAGGAAAATAGGTAAAGCTGTTTATTATTGTAGATGTTGATGCTTTGATAGCTGACGTTTAGCATTAAACTTTTGTTCAATACCTATTTTGAAAGGAGCAATTGCTTTCTGGTGGCGTGGCTGAGACAATAGCTTAGTAAAATGCCAACGCTTTCCTCTAGCTAAAGGCTTGAATAATATGCTAGAAACTAGAAATATTTTCCATGACATTATCTAAAATTCAAATTTTTTAAGGTGTCCGGCTGAACAGCCTGTTGGGAAGAAAAGGGAGCTTGGAGAAAATGAACAATTACTGGGATGTGGGTCAGTTTTTCAATGTCAGCATGTTGGCCAGCGATGTGGGGAAGGCTGTCCAGGCAGCAGAGAAGTTGTTCAGACTGAAGCCTCCAATCTGGTGAGTCTGTGTGCTGCAGCACCCATCTCTCAGATCTGGTTCTGAAACGCCTCCCTCCCCCAGCCCTGCTCCTGCACCCACCCGCATGGTGCAAACAATGGTAACCATTGCTATTTCTCACCTAACTTGATCATTAAAGCAAAGAAACAGTAGAAAGAATAGCTCTGAGTGCTCATGTGGCTTTATGTGAAGGAAGGGGCTGGCAGACCCATGCACACACAGGATCTGTCTTTCCATTGCTATGACACTGGGGTTCAGTTCTCAATCTCGATCATTTCTTCATCCATCTAGGTCCTCAAGAGTGAAACAGTCTTGGGAACCAGTATGTATTGTGCATTTATGAGAAAGCAGGTAGTAAAACTAAAAACACACTAAGAAAATGGTGATCACTGCAAATGAGAACTGGAACTGCTCGCAGAAGAGGGTAGCACAGCAGTGGCCCCGAGGGAGCCCCTTGTGCAGCCATTAAAGTGGGCAAAAAAGGGCACTGGGAAACATAGACTGGCCAGTTGCAGGGCACACTTTTTTCTGCATTGGTGGGTCTCAAACTTTGGCATGTATCATAATCAACTGTGTGGATTAAAACACACAGATTGCCGGCCTCACCCTTAGAATTTCTGGTTCATTAAGTCTAGGGTGGGGCCTGAGACTAAGCTGATGTTGCTGGTCTGAGGACCACACTTTGAGAAGCTCTGTTCTCTGTGGACTCATTTTAATGGAAAATAAATGTTTGGTATGGGACTCAAAGAGAGGCCTGGCTTCCCCAGTAGATATTAAGCTCCATTAGAATCGTGGTTCTCTTACTTATTGTTATAACCTCATAATAGATACTCAGGAGATGCTCAGTAGAGTAAATGGTGGATGGTGGATTATCTCCAAGAGATTGACGGTGGCTGTCTCAGGGGAGAGTCTTAGAAGTTTGTTGCCAACTTTCCCCTTATCTCTATGTTCTGATTTTTCTACAATGCATTTGGAATACTAGCATAATTTCTGAAATGTTACTTTCACTGATCTTCATCCGTCCACTCTTGTTTCCCAAATCAGTGGACCAGTCTGGAATCCAGGGGTAGGAAGCACTTCATAACTAGTTTGACGCCATTTCTTCCCTGTCTGAAGGACAGAAATTTGGACCCCAAACCAAGCCTCTTAAAAGTTCTCTGAAGCAGAGAGAACACTGAGCCAGGCCTGTGCCTCTAGCGCTCCTGGAGCAGCTGCTGGGTCCAGAATCCTAACTTCCAGATGCGTTGCTGCATCTGGACTGGACAGCGCTGACTCGTGCAGGGGAGACTCCAGGGTTTGGGTCCGTTCAGCTTCCATCAGCACCTGGGCTCACTTACAGTGTTGGCACCTATTGGTGTGGTCCAAGACCACCCTCCTGTCCATAATCAACTAGAAGATTCTCAGAACTCAGAAAAGTTGTTATACTCACAGTAAGTTCATTACGGTGTAGGGGTCGGACACCCCGAAAGGGTCTGATCGGCTTTTCTCAGTGTGCCCACCTTGGGATGGGAACTAGAGGCCATTCAAGGACCTGTGGGCCTCAGAAGGCTTCATTGTTTTGGTTGAAAGAAGTGAGGTCCTGAAGGCTGGGAGATGCGTCTGTCTTTTCCTGAGTCCTTCACCTTCCCTCGCTGAGGAAGAGACATCTGAAGAGTGTGCTTGGGGATCTCGCTATCTCAGAGCCTCACCTTTGCTCTCAGTAAAGATGACAACCCCCACC